TCTAAAGGTGACATTTTTTTTACAGCATCTTGACAACAACATTCTCTAAAAAATCGCATGGGATAGAAAATTTTCGGTAAGATAATCTGAAGAATTCTTATTAATAAAAAGAGTGCGCTCTTCTCGGACGAGTATTGAACTTTCTTATGCAAACAATTGTCTGCTTCGCGATAATCAATATTTCTGAAAATTCTATGTCATTTGCTAGCTATAGGAATGTAAATTAAATAGTTTTTTTTTTTTTTTTCAACTCAAATTTTGACTCCTTATGCTTTTTAATATCTAAACTTACACCTAATAAATATTACTATTCTTTCATATTTTCTTCTATCCAATAAACAAAGTGAAAACACAATTGTTTTTGGACTTCTACAGTAGCCTTATCCTTTGAGCCAAGGAAAATGAGCAAAAAAACCCTTAAAACATATACAGTGGTTTTCCCTTTTTTAATGAGATTCATTCAATATGTTATTAAAAGTAAGTACGAAAATAGTTACAGATTGTTATATAAAAATTTCATTAAAATTTCGGAGAATAAAACCCAATCAGCGCTTTTTACTTCCATTTACTCTCTCATTTGTACTTTCATCGCCTTTAAGGCAGTTTTTTGTTTGAAAAAAATTTCGCAAATGAAAAAATACATATGTATATATATGTATATGCATACATATGTAGCATAAAAGAGAAAAATTACTAAAATATTTGGATTGCATTGTACGGCAAAATAAAGGAAAATATAAAACGCGCCACGCATGCGACCGACACACAGTCGCATACGACGAATTCAATCATCAGCATAAACAAGGGCATAATTTTTAAGTTCATAATCACATACAAGCGTATAGGGTGTGTACGATTATTTCCGTGTGACTCTGTATGTGTGTGTGTGTGTATGTGTGTAAGTGGCTAAGTATTCTTGTACAGATGTGAGCGAACATGTACAACAAACAACTTAACAATACAACATTATGCCACTATGGGAATACATTCATTTTACCATTGTGTTGTGTTGCTCATATATACTAAAGTCTACGCAAATGTGTGTGCGTTTGCGCGTGCGTGTGTGTGTATGTGTGTGCATGTGTGCATGTGTGTGCATGTGTGCATGTGTGTTTGTGCTTGAAAAGACCGAATTCACACAGCACACAGCAGTGCTGTGTGTTTGTTGGCTCCACTATAAAAATATGCAATCAAATGAGAAACGAGATTGATCGCATTGATATTCCAGGAAAACTGCCAAACTAACGTGCATAAATTTTGTGGCAAAAATGCAAAAGGATCAAAAAGAACGTTGCGCGCGAACACTGACTAACACGACGACGACAATCTCAAAGAAAAATAAAAAAAAAGAATGAAACGGAAGAATATACGCATCCATATAAAACTTGGAGAACATCATCGGATTTATTGTTAACGCTGACTCGTGCAAAACGCGAAACGGAACGCAAGTTAAACATTCGAAGCGAACTTAAAATTAAAGTTTGTACTTGAAAGCATCAGAAAAATAATACAAAAAAATCAAATAAGTAAGCAATGCTTCACTATAGGCGAACGCTGAACACCCGCCCATCAACTAAAACATAAATACATATATTTTTTCCTAATTGAAGAAAGAAATTTCGTTAATATCTACCTGGTGGTGGTAGAGATGAGTATTGTACTGAAAGGACGAAATGAATGAAGGGGACTTGTAACCTTTCCTAAGCTGGTTGAGTCTTATAAATTATTTGCATGACAGATGGAATTCTTATAAACTTGAAAACGTTTGTAGAAATCATTTAGAAATGTGTCTACCAGACAATGCGTTAGGTATATGCAGGCCTTGATATATATTTTGTGATACCTCTATAAACGCTATGATAAACTGTACATACCCCAAAACGGTCAGAGATGCTTATAAAAACAATAAAGTGGAATTTGTACGTCTTTTTTCTTTTTCCTTTTTTTTGTTTTTTTTTTTTTTGGGCAACAGCCACGTAAAGCAACAACATTAACAACAATCAATGCGAAAGGCATTGATTGCTTATCGAAAGCATTGAATTTCGTATATTCCGAAATGTACAATAACAATAACGCGACATTAGTGTTTTCAATACGTTCAAACACATGTGTATATAACAAGCTTAGCCGCTACGCAACCAGGACTAAGGAAAACTTTAAAAGTAGAAGATCTTATGCGGAGATCCAGTAGCCCCTAAAAACGATTTAAATATTTTTAAAGGCGCTAAAGCGTCCAATATTGCGAGCGGCGTTTTGACGGCTTTCACATTAAATAGATGGAAGCTGTTGATTCTTCGGGATACGAAGGATGAGCTGACAAATGTACAGTTGAACGAAGAATGGGTGTGAGAAAAATGCTTTAAGCGCACAGGATATTGATTAAGTTACTAAATGTGAATCTAAAGGAAACAAACGCAAATATTCATGAATTTCATTCAATAGATTATCGGAATATTTAGTTCACTTTCACCTTAAACCGCTGTGAAGAGATGTATTCAAAACTGGACGTTTCGACAAAAGGAAGATTTATGCTCATAAAGTTCAATTGTTCGCTTCCAGCAACTGGCGTTTGTTGAATGGATTAAATGGACTCTACAGCTTCAAACAGCTTTGCTTTTGTACGGAAGATGCTTGGGGGGCGTTTGCCTTCTATTTATTATACGCTCTTCCATACATAGCCTTCCAATAAAACATGCAGAAGTTTGAATTACAGGCTTACAAACCTTCGTCCGTTAATTTTAATGCGCTGCAGGTTATATGCGGCTTAGACCAATGGTTTCAATCCTCACCGCCAGGTTATATTGAAGAAAGGAGAGTTTGCAATACATTAAAATAGTTTTGTACGATTTTTAATTGCAATAAAGTAGAATATGATCGACATTTACATGCAATATTTAAAATCATGGGATTAATGCTTGAGGGAAAAATTGAAAAAATATTTTAAAATAAGTGGTTCCTGAATTCAAAATATTTAATATTACCTCGCGGCTGTATTACTTGGACAGTTGAATGTCTGTCTCTCACTCTCTCTCTCTCTCTCTCTCTCTCTCTCTATCTATCTATCTATCTATCTATCTATCTATCTCTATCTCTATCTATCTCGCTCTCTCTCTCTTTCTTTCTTTCCTTCGTTCTTTCTTTCTTTCTTTCTTTCTTTAATTCTCGAAAGTGCGGGACCTTGGCTTTAATCAGGGAAACCTAGAGATGTGCTAATTAAAGCTGGACCACTTGGTCAAAATTTTTATTTAACCAGACATCGGTCAAACGACAAAATTTTAGATTACTTCCACATATCTTTAAAAGAAATAGCATCAATCGTCAGTCGTGCACTAACACACATAATCAGATATATCTCTTTAGAGATGTTTAGCTCTAATAGAAAAAATTAATAATCATATTAGTATTTTTGGATCTGAAATTCGTGTACACTACTTTCAAAGAAATTGGAACGCATCTAGTTTTGAGAAAAGATATTTAGTAACTCTCCGAAAAAAAACTTTTTAAATATAGATCATTCAAATCTTTTGTACATAACTTCTAAAAAGAAGAAGATTCTAATCGGCGAAATTCGAAAATGGATTACAGATCAAATGAACGTTGCCTCACAAAGGACACTCTTTGAGCGTAGGAATATAATTTTCATGAACGTGTTAGGAAAAAATTACAGCCCATTGTAAGCTTCGATCTAAGAGGCCATACAAAATATTAACTCTTCTTTTGGTTTCTCTTTGGAAGATATTATTAAATTAATTTTTTTTAATGCACAGGGATTTTATGGATACCGCAACTAACTGCAATTTTATTTTTCTGAATTTGAATCTTGTATACGTATTTCATATATTTCAAAAAGGCGTCGGGAACTTTGTAAATTTTCTACCTAACCAATGTGGAGCCGCTTTATAGTTATCTGCAGCAAGTAAACTCGATTTGAATTTGAACAAATGTTACTCATTCGATAGTTAGCAACAATGCATTGTTTATCGACAGCTATAAATTCTCTATTCATTGCAGCGGATCGACAACCAACAACTAACGGGATTAATCGATGGAATTTGCCATATATATCGGAAACTATAAATCGACGCCAGTTAATAAGCTGATCAGCACGATTCGGGGAATATTTGCAAGGTTCCGTTTAGTACTTACTCTGCCTCTCTGCCGTCTGTAAGTTAAAGTTTCATCAGTAGGCTTTAATTATCGGCATAAATATTTTGTTGGAATGAGCGACAAATAGTCCAATCGTCATAGAAAGCGTCCAACTATCACTTGGAAGATCTCACGTTCGACTTCTAGTGCGTGCGACCGCAAATTGTATTTTATTGCGTATGTGCGTAGATAAAAGTTGATCTTTCGAGATTATTCTGCACGCAGCCACTAAGGAACTGCAAAAAAATTTATTGGAGCAACCAAGCAATGGGGGCGGTTTTCTAAATTTTTTTTCATCTTTTCGTTGTTTTAAATTAGAATCCTTTAATTCTTAATTGATTTGATGATATAACGCAGGAGCACAATGGTTAAAAATCATTAACGTAACTCACATTGCAACGCTTAGCGCTTTTAGTTACACGACATCGCACATTTCGTCATCTGTCGTATACATTCTTCGCCAGCGAAACCGATTTTCATACGTCCGTTCGATGCTTGTCTGCATTTATAAGTCTACACCTTCAAAGCTTTGTTAGAAACGAAAACTTTGATTCCAAATTTCTCTCAATCGCTTACGTTAAGTCAAATCCGAAAACCATCAGAAGCGGTCCTTAAGCTCACTGATAACTGCTAGAATGCTTCTATTGCGGTAGGTGTTAAATTTTCTTTCACTGCCTATGATTGAGTGATTACACATACACACATATATACCACTGTCCATATGCCAAAAGTTGTGTGAAAAGTCCCTACTTTTTCTAATAAGCACAAGCAAGCAACAAAATATAAAGGTAGATATATATATATATATATTCATTATCGATTGAATACACGTTTACTAGACTTAACTTAATAATGCCTTTCATCTTCATTACGCGCGAAGGAACTTGGGAGCCAAGCAGATCCTTCAGCGCTTAATGCGGGATTTTCTTCTTAAAAATGTGCCGTTTATCCGTAATTCTAGTGCAGATATATTTAACTCTTCAATCGTACTTTGAAATATCGTCAGACTTACATTTGGTGATTGATTCCGTACAACGATTGAGCACGATTGACTAGTTTGTTCCTGTTTATAAATTTCTGTTGCGAAGTTTATTCGGCATCTAACTAAGCACGCAATTAACGTGCTAAAAAGATATAGACAAAAAAAAAATTCCAACAATTGTATACGCGTGTGCGTGTGTTTGTGCGAATGCTGATAATGACAAAACAGGAACAGTAAAGCAGTAGCATCACAACGAAGACTATCAACTGGCACTGGACCGATTATCTCTGCAGCTATGTGGTGGTGTAACCAAATTTGGTGGAGAGTTTCATAAAAAAAATAAGATAAATGCAAACCCACAGGACACAGAACAAAGCAGCAACAGTAACAGCAGCAGCAGCAGCAGCAGCAGCAGCAGCAGCAACAGCATCGGCAGCAAGTACCAACCAAATGGTAAGCTCGGTCGGTAAAGCTCTGTTTCAACTCTCTTTTACAATATATAAACCCTAGTAGATGTGTACGCTCACTTATCACGGCGGCGTGATCGAACATATACATATATATATGTTACGACTTTGTTTGTATACATTCATGGTAGAGTTGAGTGCAAGGTTGTGCTCCTTAAACTTTCTGTCCGACTTATTGTCAGTGAATCTCGCCTCGTTGCTGTTGTTATTTTAATGCAGAAGCCGTAGTACGTGGTTAGTTGGTAGTTGGTCCATATGTTGCGCCTTTTATTGTCTGTAAAAGGTAGCAAAAGCATTTTTGTTGTTACTGTTGTTTTCATTTCTCGAAGAAAAAGTGTTTAAATATGAAAGTATGCAGTCAACTGTATATTGTAGACTACTTGACAGCACACCACAGAACTAAACTCTACAGTGAACTGACGTTGAGAGTCGTTATAATCATCGTTGTCGTTGTTTTTGTTGGAGTTTTTAGCTTGACTTGATTTCATTCCGCACCAGTTGTGGCACTTTGAATGCCTTAGCTTGCATACACCTTCCATGCAGTATGCCGTCGTTGTTGTTGTTGTTGTTGTTGTTGTTGTTGTTGTTCTTATTGCTCTTGTTGATGACGGTGATGTGTTTTTAAGGGAAAACGAACGGGGATGGAAATGCATCATCATTTCAAGTCCAGTTGGCCTTTTTTGGCCTCCGCCATCCAGCAAGTATGTAAGTATGCTTTACTTTTAATGGCATTTAAATGTATTTATATTCACTTTGGCATGTCGCGCGTTCTGCTCGCCTTTCCTCTCTCTCTCTCTCTCTCTCTCTCTCTCACTCTCTCTCTCATTCTTAACTATTAATACACTAACTAACCTTTTTACATTTCTCTACCCCGACGACGTTGTTAAGTTCCTTTGTCTTCAGCATGCGATAATGGTAGTAGTTGTAGGTTGATTGGTTGTTTATGTTTGAATGCATATAATAGACATTTGGGTGTGTCCGTATGTGTGTTAACGTGTTTTGCAACTTGTTGCTGACGCCTGACAAGCGATAACAATTGGTTGGTGTGTCGTGCTTAAATTGTCATACGTCCTGACATTTTTTCTTTCATATTGTTGTTAAAGTTACTGTTGTTCTTGTTGTGACTTTTGCATGTATGCATGTATGCATGTTTGTTTGTTTGTTTGTGCATGCATGCATGCATGTGTGTGTGTGTGTGTGTGTGTGTGTGTGTGTGTGTGTGCGTATATGTGTTTATATAGTTACTCTTCTCATTTTACCATATCGATAAATATCAGGGTTAGCGCCTTGCCCTTAAAAAGCTTTAAATTTATGTGCGCTACGCTGCATTCAAAAGCGCACAACATAGGTACTGCAAGCAGTGCAACAGATCGACCGACCAACCTACCAACATAAGCACAAATAATATATATATATATATGTATATATGTGGATTCAATTCAAATACATAAACAGAAGTACAAAAACAGAAATTTAATTACATAAATTATATCTTAAGAGACACGTACGTATGCACATGCGTTCATGCATGCATGCATGCATGCATGTTCATTGCGGTCTGTGGGGAGGACTCAAGAATTTTTGAATACTCGCTCGCTTAGCACAGATATGCACCGAAAAGGAAGAAGAATGTTGGTTATGTGTATTTCACTTATCTCGTAGGACCTCCAAGTCATCACTTTAGGAAGACTTAAGGCGATCGGCACGCATGCATACATATATACACATACACACATATACATCGCATACACCCAAGCATACACAATCTCCACCTGAGAGGCTATAAATAAAAATAATAAAAAAAGAAAAAAAAGAAGAGAAAGAAAAAAAAAAAAATATGCTGAAAAATGAGTTTTAATTCGAATAACTTGAACGGCTATTACGGATTGATGTATACGTTAAACGATAACATAAAAGTTGAAAGAAAATTATTAACAAAATGTTTCAATTTATTTAAATTAATTCACCTGAATGATAGTCTTAGTGCTATCATTATAAGCACCACCTCGTATGTTAGGCATTGAACTACAGATTCGCACAAAACATCAGATTATCGTCGCCAGTCAAATGAGAATCAATTCATTTAATAACAACTGCACGGGCACACAATATATATATATATATATATATATATATATATGTATATGTATATGTATATGTATATAGCGGGAAAGAGGTAGAGCCAATACATGCATACATGTTAAAGGCCATATTGCGTATAATTTATTTGATTGTTGAAAAAGCCATCTGTTCCGTATTATAGTGTTTCGTTGTTGTTGTTTTATTTGCGATACTCCAGTAAATCAATACACCGCACAAATCTAAACAACATGTTGAATCTATTTGGCGCAGCATTACAACAAGATTGTCATGAGGTTTGTATATGCATACGTGATCCAATTTCATTCCCTTTTCCTCTTTAGCTTGTCATATGTATTAGATTATAATTAATAAATCAGTTTACATTAATCTGTACTCGCGTCGCAACTACAACATGACAGATTTTCATCAAAGCACCACAATACTAAACGAAACCATATGTTTTATCGGGCGTTGTGCGCGTGCGTGCGAGTGTTTGCAAGTGTTTTGTTAATTTTCATATCTCCCCAATTACCGCAAATGGTAGTATTCTAATTTTTGCATTATGTTTGCAACGGTCCCATATATGCCGTCGATAACCTTGAAGTATTTCCTAAGTTAATCCGTTAGATAATCCAAAAAGTATTGTGAAGCAAAAATGAAGCCGAAATCTCGTTTGTACTCAATCAATGCATTTATCATGTGCTCATTATTTTTCTTTTCGTCTATATATATATGTATATATACAGGTTCAAATTTCAAGTGCAGTAGAGCTTTCAATAAAGCCGACAGCCTTAGCTGTTGGTGCCTTAAGATTTTATTCTTTCCGGTTAAATTAACGGATGCCAAGTAGCTTAGGGTCTCAGTTTACGCTTTGGAAAATTTCGGTGAAATTAATCTTGCCATAGAAAACTCTCAAAATGGTGAATGAAGAAAACCTCAGAAAGAAATATTAATGGATATATGCATATATAACTAGGGGCGTTATTGACGCTTGATTTCGCATTTCCCTTAAATCTTATTAGAAATGTCCAAGAGATAAGTCATGAATATATATACATTTTTTTTCAATTAAATTTCTCGCTAATAAACACGGCTCGTATTTATGCTGGATTCAGTGCACTTAAATAAATGAACAAATGTGTTCCGGTGTTATTATGTAAGCATTAAACGATTCGATCTAAACTGCTCACAGTTTCTCTCTGTTGGGTTTTTTTTTTTTGCAGATTAGTTTTTTAAATGGATATACAAAAAATTACAAGCGCCGATAACGACGGTTCAGGTAACGGCTGAAAACGACGCCAATGACTATTAAGAAATGATTAACAAAAAAAGAAAACATGTCGTTGAAACAAAGTCTAGTTTTCGTTTTATCACCAAATCAAGTTGGATCAAGTTGAGTCAACGAGCGTCGATATCTATTTTGAAAACAAAAAAAAATTATTCACATTTTTCAGTATATATGCGATAAAATTTTTATGATTTTTATGCATCAAGGATTTCTGGAAACCCGAAAGATGATATCGACTAAATCAAGCAAAGAGGATAAGTAAAAGACAGTTTTCTTATTGCAAGTAAGGTTCGGCAAGGCATTCACAAAAAAGGACCATTGTTCTCATTTAACCGGGAAAGACCAAATTTGCCATTAGTTCTCCAAAATGTCCAAATCTGTCATTACTCCTTACTTCCGTTTATGCCGACTTTGCTTGTCATGCCCGAGCAAGCGAGCAAAACTCGAATCAGTTTATTGACTTCAGAATAAATCTTTGCTTCTGCCTATGAGACACAAAAGTGTAAGCATACTGAAGTATCACTCGCCCGTGAATTAACTCAGGGAAAACTATCGATTTGGAAAGTGAATCTCTATTATAAAATTCATTTCTGCAAAGGGTAGCTGTAAAGAAAGTAATTTCTGTAAGGCGAACTGGTAACAGAAAGCAATTTGTGGAGAGGAAGGCTGTGAAGAAGAACAATTTCTGTAAGAGTTATTTGTAACGAGATTTTCTTTCTGTGAATTGTAATGAGAAACATCTCAGACAAAGATTAAGGTAAACGAAGTTCGACTTCTTTCGATTTTATTCAGAGATCAACGCTAACACGATTTAGAACAGATACGTACACAGGTCGAAATTAACAATACTAACCACTACTCGAATACTCACTCTTTCGCTTAGACCAATTTTCTTGTTTGATAACCTTTATTGGGGATTTGAATATCTCTGACATATGATCGCAACGATATATTCTTACGTTTTAGGAAGTTCTTTATGTGTATTTTGGGCTAAAAATGTAACTAGTATAGCACTATGACTCCTCGCCCGGATAATTGATACAATTTCATCGTACGAACGAAATGAATATTGTAAGCCAATGATGGTATTATGGTTTCTATGAAATATAAAATCCCTCGCTTCAAATGTCAATCGATTAAGAGAACATTATCGCGGTTTGTACCCACATGATGACTTGGTTCATAAAATACTTTAAAATATTTGATTCATAATCGAGTTTTGTTCGGCCTCTGTGAGACTTTAAATGCTCTTAGAAATCAATTTCGCTTATGGCAAATAAAATGAAACTCAATTCCTTTCTCATTCTTAAGAATTTGTTAAAAATTGCAAGAAATGCCTAAATAGGGAGCCATTTAAATGCCATAAGGAGATCTGCAATAGACATTTTTTCCTCTCCAATGAATAACGTAATGTTTTATCTCTGCCTTACTTGGGTGTTACGGTAATACCTCCTCTGTAATAATTTCCACTCTACGCTTTACTAGCAATCAAACTGACACCTTTTATTTATTTGGTCATTATGTAAAAAAAAAAAAAAAAAAAATGTCACAGTAATTAACTCAAAAATTCACATTTTTTCTACTGCACTGGTGTTCCTAACGTCGCGTATTTAACCGCTAATGTGTATATCGTGGCTTAGCTAACATAATTATTACTAGTTTTTCTTCATTTTTTTTTTTTTTTCTTATTTTCCATAACATCTGACTGATGGTTTACATGACTGGCAGCAACAGTTCGAGTTACCGTTCAATACATATGTTTGTTTATTTAGGTTCAGGTGCTAAAGTCGCGTGTTGCCATTTAATTGAATTAATTTTTATAAATACTCTCACCATTTATGAATACACTAGTTTTCTCATTCAACTTGCGACATCCAGCAATACTTCATGTCTACCAATCTGTTTTTTTCTTACGTACAAGAAGAAGAAGATAAGTGGAATTGTCCTGCAGAGCGAGTTTGAAAATGATCCTAATCCGTTTGCATTACAAAAACATTAGAAGCATTGTTAGCCAGGCATGGCCAAATGATTGATCAGGCTTTCTATTCTTAACAGAAAGTGCATAATTGAGCATAAGGCATACGAAAATCTATGCTTCTCGTCCCGACCACGTGAAAGCGAGCACACGGATTTTTAATGACTTGGTAAAAATTAAAAGAAATCGTTTGAAAAGTTTTCATGGCCCATAGTAAAGCCCCGTTCGACAGTCATTTGTTTCCCTCCCTGCTTGGCACCCTTAAATAAAGGGGTGTGAATATCATCCGGATGAGTGTCTAAGTAAATAAGTATCGCGACTACCAAAAGTCAGTCTGCGCGAATGCAAACCGCAGTGCGCTCAGTACTTAACAATTGCGTCCGCATCCGTTAGATTTGCGGCCAATCCCTATTTCTGCCTCTTTCCACATTTTTCTCTAACCATCACTATGTCACATATATATAGGAGACCTCCACAGAGGAATTGGTCACTCTGGACGACCGAATTTGTGTGCACAGGTTTTTCACGTAGAAATCTCAATAGTTGTACAGTGTAAAGGCATAAGTGATTTATTGAAAAAATATGAGAAGTTCATGGATCAAAAGGGCACATTTTTAGCTTAGTAAAGTTCATTTTAAATCTAAGAAACTCGTGTTTGTGAACTTTGTTGCAAAAATCGCCACAAACTTTTTGCTTTTGTCTATTGTGGTAAATGAGCCACCTCATGGTCTCAACTCATGAATTACATGAATATCGATTAACGTACGGGACTTACAGCCGCATTCTGAACAACACCAAAATTATATCGCAAATGGCATTTTTCCTACGCGGTTTGCGGGATTTAACAAGCCTGATTTTAGTAAAACTTATGCCGGAGCGCCTTTCAGGACGAGCAACCAACGTTGATACAAAAGCAAAACAACCGGGCACCCGAAGACCGATCATAGCACCAAAGTAAACCCCTAAGCCTCTAGTATTAGGCTGAGTACTTTTTCGGCTATCTACTGTCTCTATTGTACTTGTTTAAGGTAAACGGTATCTAAAATTCGACGTTGAATTTATGCATCTTTTTTCTCTGTTTTTTTCTTTTTTTTCTTTTATATATCTTTTTATATTACATATACATATATATGTGTAAACCGCGAAAAAGTTGAAAAAAAAGAAACTAAACACATGTGTGCAGAACGTGCATATTAATAAAGAATTACCGTACATACGTGTGCGAGTTAAGCGACACAAAAACTTTTAAGCCAGTCACCCAATAGATGACTAAACACTAAATGTGGTTGTCTTCTTGTTATTGTTGCTTTTGTTGCGGTTGTTGTTGTTAGTGTTTACACATATGTTAAAGATAAATTCAATTACGTAGAAGCATTTATAAAGTATTTATTTTCATAAACACTTTACTTTTTTCTCGTGCGGCTTGACATAAGGAATTAATTAAGTTTATTGTTAGACGCTAGACTATAATTTGAAGGCGTCAATTGCGAGAGATAAACACTAATGTTTTTGAAATTGAAAATTGTGAAAAGACACAAATAAACGAACATTTAAGTCAGAAAAGCAGTACAAAGTAATTTTCCAAGGCAAAGTTTATAAAAAGCTTAAACTTTTATGGATGCAGATGAAGAAAGAAAAGTTAAAGGAGTGGAAAAGGGTGAGAGCGGTAAAAGGAAATTGTGGTAATTCACACCTCTTTCATATTCTTTTATCTTAAGAGTGATTTCAATCTTCCATTTTTTTTTTTTTACTATAATAACTCTAT